CATTGCATTTCTTGCCAAAATGAATCCCGTCCTATCGTTACCATTGATAACTTCAACTCTAGCAAATAATTCCATCTCCACAGCCTCTCACTTCCATCACCTTTCCTTTAGTTCACCTTAGGCATTAACTCTCATGGTCTTAACAACCAAGATCTCATGATGACTCAGAACTCTATTACTTCCATTATCTTGATTTAAAGCCCCGTGCACTTTGACCAAAAACTCTATCTTTCTAGGTCGCATACCTTAACACCACTCCCGTTCCAATAATTCTTTGATCTTCATTTAGGCTTTCATTCTATTGACTTTAACTCACCTATCATTCTTCCTAGCCTTCACATATCCCTCATCTTATGTTCTGGGGATCACACAGTTTTGTGGCTCAGGAATTGGAAGGAGCTAGATATTTCTGGCTCATGGTCTCTCTCATGCAATCATAATCAAGATGTCAGCAAGGGATGCCATCATCTGAAGGCATGTCTAGAACTGGAGGCTCTGCCTCCAAGTGGCTCAACCACATGGGTGTTGGCAGGAGTCTTTAGTTCATCACCATGTGGACCTTTCCATGATTGGGCTTAAATGTCTTCACAAAATGGCACTTTCTCCAGGGTAAATATCCAAGAATAAGGGCAAATAGGAAATTACAGAGTCTTTCTTTATTTCTTTTTTTTAAAGAGAGAGTGAGAGAGAGAGAGTTTTTTAATAGTTCTTGGCGGACACAACATCTTTGTTTGTATGTGGTGCTGAGGATCGAACCCGGGCCGCACGCATACCAGGCAAGCGCACTACCGCTTGAGCCACATCCCCAGCCCAAATGACAGAGTCTTTCATAATCTAATCTCATAAGCCTACCACCACCACATCTGCCCTATAGTTGTTTATGAATAAGAATGTTTCAGTCAATGATAGATTATTACATAGTGGTGGTCCTGTTAATATAATTTTGAGTAATGTTATAGTTATTTTATTTTATGTGAGTACAGTAAGTCTATGATGTTTACACAATGATGAAATCACCCAAGGAGGCATTTATCAGAATATATCCTCATCATTAAGTGATTCATGACTATATTCTGTTTGTTAGAAAGCAAGTCGCTAAATTTCATCTATACTTAAAAGGAGAAGTAGGTACCACCATTTGAAAAGAAGAGTGTTGAGGAGTTTGTCTACATATTTTAGAATCACTGCACCATTTTATAAATTAAGAAATAGACCTTTTTATTTCATAAATGAAGTCCGATAACTTGCCTGTGATCACACAATCTCAAATGTGAAAGAATTTTTATCTCTTGCTCATATAATGTTCCAATAAAGAAATGCTTCTCCAACTAGCAACTCAAAGACCCACTGGGCTTCCATATTGTGGCTCTGTGACCTTTAATACCTGGCTTCCAAGGTTGACATTTTTGTGGGCATCAAACTCTATAAGGTAAAAGAATATGGAGAATCAAACATAGGAAGCTTTATGGGCAAGTCTGATGTACAAAATAACATTATTTTCATTCAAATTCCATTGGTTACAAATCAGTCATGTGAACACACCTGCTGGGAACACTGGAAATGTAGTCTAGCTATGTGCTTAAGAAAAGGAAGCCATATTTGGTGAGAATTTAGCAGTTTCTGCAAATTTCATGCCCATCCTTGTAACCACTATGATTATAAATAGAAAATGTACATGTATATGGCTGGTTGGGAAATGGTGTCAGATGGAGGAGCAGGTAGAATAATAACCATTTTCACAAATAGAATTTTTGTGGAACTTTAGAGTAAATCTGCAAAACCATATTGCCTATGTTCAGATTGTTTCCATATTGTTATCATTTTTATTGTTTATTCACTTGCTCCTTATTGGCTACAGACTGTTAGCAAGAGGTCTCTTGTTTGTTCACTGAAGCTACCACTGGATACACATATCCACTCCACTGTGTGTCTAAAGAGAATTTTCTAGGCCATCCTGGAGATAAGAATGTAGTTGCAGGCCAAATATATTATTTCATCATCATAGCATAGATACAAGATTCAGTCAGAGCTTTATTTTAGAATTATCTAGAAGGTGGGTTCAATTTCCCACTTCATTTATGAAATAAAAATGTGCAAAGCCTGTGGAGACAAGTTAATCTGTGCCAGTCTCTTGTTTGTTTAGGAGTGGAACACCTCTCCAATACTCCTCCAGGAATTTCTTAGGACCCCTGCAGTAGTAGCATCTGGTGAAGGAGCACCTTACTGTTCTCAGCAGCAAGTACACACTCCTCCACTGTTTCATCATCTTGCCAACACTCCTTTCTGGCTACAGACTATAAACAAGAGGCCTCTGTTTAAACCATGTTTGACTTCGCTCTTTCGTCTTCATAGGTGGCTACTCTGGACCGTGAGGGTACCAAAGACTAGTTATGATCTACAGCACTCATGACTATGCTGGTATTTTATTTTCTAGCTTTGCTACTTTTGGTAGGTAATAATGTTGTTGAAGGAGTATATTACTTGTCCCTTGCCCTATGACAAGAGATAATATTCTCACCCATCGATGCTGGTCTTATCCACACGACTTGCCTTGACCTCTTGCTGGATAAAATGTACCTCTCTACCCCTTATTCAACCACTGATTTGTTTTCATGAGTATAATATAAATTTCTATGACACATGTGATGATTTGAAATATACACACACGCTTCAGCTTGGCTTATCACTTTCCTACTTTTGCTATGAGACGAACATACCTCATGTAATGTCTGGTTCAAGAAGAGACAGAAACATGAGATGTACAAACACATGGGAGCAGGGGAAGGAAGACCCGGCTCAGTACCTGTCCTGCACTCAGCCCTCAGCGTCTGCCTGGCGTTACTGAAGGTCTCCTGCCTCCAGTAAGGAAGCAAGGGCTTCATCTGCAAAGCTAAGCCAGACAGCTCTATCCCAGATTAGMAAAGGCCCAGCTAACCTACAGGGGGCAGGAGAAAGAAAAGAAGGCTTATTGCTCTATAGTCTCCATTTAAAGGTGGTTTGTATGCAGTTTGTATGTGACAGTTTAATCAAAATGAAGCAAGGACCCTAATTCAGTTTGAGACTTGTCTAATAAGATAGTTTGGTACATCTGAACCATAGTGGCCAGCCCACACTCCCCATTAGATAATTATAAAAATTCTTCAAAATAGCATTTAGAGTGGCAATGGGTGTAGCCCAGTGGTAAAGCATATGCTTAGTATGTTCAAGGCCCTACATTCAATCCCCAGCACCAAAAAGAAGAAAAAAAAAAGGGCATTTGAAATAAGACTCAGAACAAATTTTCAATGCTATGTAGACTCAACATTTCCTATTTTTCAGGGAGAGGTTTGCTGAGGTTTTCTCCATTTCATTGGGCTCTGACGAATCCGATGTCTTTCACATAAGTGAACTTGGCCTCAGGGTTGGAGGTATCTTTGCTGGCAAGCATTTCACAAAGAAGGCATTTGTTTCAGAAATCAACCTTTAATTTGGACAAATTTTAATAGTCACAGAGCTTGATGCTGATGAAAATGTTTACTAGCAGCATTTCTGGTTTGGAACCATTTGTTTCTATTATTTTGACAGAAACAAAATTTGGTTGGTTGTTCGTTGGGATGTGAAATGGTTTTGTAAGCATTTCAGCTTGATGCCCAGGCAAGCAGTCACAATAATTCTTCTTCAAATAAATAGGAACTGCTATTTTTCTATTCATTACTTCAATAAGAAAAGTTCTACCAGTGAAAGGCTTTGCAAAATACTGCATCATAAAAACCCTGAAGTAAATTGCAACAAAAGTTAGTACACTGTAAATATTTTTGCAAAAGATTTGGGGAGTCTTTTCTTTCTATAAATACTTGTCTGCATAGCAAAGGGAATGAAAAGTCAGAAGAAAAAAATTGTGTTGTCTCATTTCTACTTTGGAGCATCAAATATCATTGATTCAGCAGAACCACTTTGCATGCCTTATGAATTATACCTAAGGTGGAAAAGTGGAGAAGAATTTCATGAAAACATATCAAGCAACATAGAAGTGACTGCTGTAATTAAATCATTTTTTTTAATCATCAAAATTGAAAATAAGAGAAAACAACTTCTGAAGAAGCCGAGGGTCAATCAGCTAAATAAACTGAAGTCATTCCGTCAACTGGCATTGATTAGATTTTAGCAGGATGGAATTGACTTTGCTCCAACTCCACCCACTTCACAAACTAATTAGGAAAGCATATCAGCAACATCTTCAATCAGCTAAGGAAGATAAGTGGGCTTCAAAGTCATCAACTATAAAACTCTGTCAAGAATAGCAATAGATTCTCAAAAGAACTTCAGAGAGCTTTCAGAAAGTTACCCAATGTCAATCAGAGGAACAAAACCTCAAAGCCATGGGTCTTAATTTGGGGGGGACCTTTTTGGACAGCAAGGCTGACTTATAAGAAAGAAAATCACACACCAACAAAGCATATGTTAGCATCCAGGGTTCTCACTCAACTTCCATTCACCTAAGTCCCCATCCAGGAAGAGCAATAATGATGCTCGGGTCTCAAGGATTTGAAGGGGCATTGGGCAAATTATTTAAAATATCTAGAAATGTATAAACTTGTACAGTCCTTAAATGGAGGAGAGAACTATTAGTTACTTCTTCAAGGAACACTGTCTGCAGATCAGTGAAAGATGGTACATTTATGAGTGTCTTGTTCTCTTTACCAACCAAAGTACCACAGAACATTTTCTTCATTTTTTTGAATGGAGAAATGAATAAAAGAATCACTTTGAGTTCACTTAATGGCACTTGAAATGCTTTTTTTTTTTTTTTCCTGTGTGTTTCTATTCCCAAAGTACTGGAAGTCTAATATCTTAATGACAGATACCTACCTACTCACTGTTCTGTTCTGATGAGAATCCTAAGTAACAGATCCAGGAAAACATGAAAACACTGATTTCCCCCTCCTTTAAGTTTCATATTTTAAAAGAAGAAGGTCAGGGGAAGAAGGAGAAGGAGAAGAAGGAGAAGAGGAAAAGAAGAAGTGCTGGCTTTGGCAGCACAGATACTAAAATTGGAACAATACAGAGAAGATTAGCACGGCCCCTGCACAAGGGTGACACAAAAATTCATGAAGCATTCTGTATTTTTTTTAGATGCACACATGTGTCAGCCCTACAAAAAGTAAGTAAAGCTAGAGGCTATAAAGGAAGGATTCTTGTGTGACAGTGCCTAATAATAATGATCACAAAGGACTCTAGAGTCGCAAATTTGTCCTGAGTTAATTTGAGTCTGATCTCATAGACCTACAAATCTTCCTAACCTCCTACATTGAGAAACTTGATCTGTTTTTCACTGAGTTACTATCCTCATGGTTTTCAGAGACTGGCTAAAATATCAATTGTTTTTATGCTAATTGTTTACAAATAACACTTTGCTGTCTTGTTTATTGCTGTCTTAGCATAATCCCTGCTCTTTGTATGCCTTGTCCAGTCACCTGCCATCAGCCACTATGGACCTCTGGGCTGCTCTGATGCTGAATGCCCTTAACTATCCATATCCTACCTGGTAGAGAACAAGGACTTTGGGTTACTTCCCCCAACTTCACTTCCTTTCAGCAGAAAGCAGTTTGGACACGTCATTGCCCATTTTTCCATAGAAATGAAATGTAGAAATTGACAGTGGGAAAATGTAACAGTGGTCCATTTTAAATATAACCCTTGCTGCTCTGCCACCGTAACTTATTTTTAAAGTGGACATGTTTGTTTCTCTTCCTTTCTCCCCGCTCCTCCCTAATCTCTCCTTCTCCCTAATCTCAGGGGAAACAGGATTACCTTTCTTCCCCATTTTAGCAGATTTGTCATTCCCAAAGTCTGGATTACTTAGCACACACCCACCATAGGTGCTAAGTAATCCAGACTTTGGGAATGGTACCAGCTCAGAAATGACTATCTTGCAAATTAACAAGTGACTTGCAAGTCCAATCAAAACATGTGGAAGGTAGCCTTTAAATCACCTCTTTAAAAGCCTCCTGTTCCTGCTGATGGGCAAAATCACAGGCTCTGGGAGAGGAGTCTCCTGTGTTTCCCCTTTGCTAGCAAAGCAATAAACCTTCTTTTTCCCTTTTCTAGAAGAAGAAGAAGTGGGGTGGGGAGACAAAGGGAAAAGGAGAGAGAATAGACACAGGATGATACAGAAAGAGATTGTGTGTGTCCGGCATGATGTTAAGTTTTCATGTCCGCCTCATCACCCTCCAGTGCTAGCACAATCGCCACTGCTTTCTCCTCCACCTGCACTCTCCCCCAGGTCTCTGGGATAATGGTTGGTTTATAAGGGAGAAGTTGTTTTAAACCCTAAAAAAAAAAAAAAAAAAAAAACTTCTATGAAGAACCTTGACTCGGCTGTATGGGGGTGTCATTAGGAGAGCTGGAGTAAGTCACAGAGGATGCTTCAGATGAGCCACCACTTACCAAGTAGCATGGGAGCATTTGAATATTGTAACAACTGCCAGAGAAGTGCTTGTGTGTATCTGCCAAGTGAAGGTGCTGCCTTTCTGTACCTTTGCCTAAGCGTTCTTGCATTCACAAACTCATACCCAGCAACCACAGAGTTTAAGACACACATTGAATCATAGAGCTGAAACACATTAGAGATGACAAAGTCCTGGTTTTAAAATAAGGAGTCATGTGAGATGTACTCATGCTCACAAAGCTCTGTGGCAGAGTTCAGGCCAGACCCGGCATCCTCTAAACTGTGCAATATTCTTCTCAATGACATCAAGCAGAGAGTGCTACTCTAAGTAGGTTTTCTATCACTAGGGGAAAAATCAATTTCAGGATATCAACCTGAGAATTAAAAGTGTTACTTACGATGTGAAATGTTACTGGTTCTCATGAAAACACAAATTTCACCTATATCCAACTCTTTCTTCTGTCAAGATATCTGGACAGATAATGATAATGATAGACGACGTATACTAAAAGAACCACTAAAACGTAAGGATAGCAACACTTCACTGCCACCCTTTGTTTAAATGCCACAGGAAATTAACCAGGACATCACATTTGTTTCCAGTTGTATCTTCACTCCTTTAAGAGGCTTCATGGAATTCTAGAAAGTGCATTAACTTTGGTTGCAGATGAATACAGCACAAATCTCAGTACAGTCATTTTACAAGCAGTTAAGACTTGGGAAAGCACTTAATCTATTTAATTCTCATTTTCCATAGTGGTAAAATAGAAGGGATAACACTTGCAACCTGATCATCGAGAATTAAATAGGATAAGCAATATATGTACAACCTATAAGTCACCGATCTCACCAGCGAGTAGCTATAAAATGTTGCATTCTCTTTTCATGGTTCCAACTTTCTTCAAGCTACTACTGGCAGATAGTCTTCCAAGAGTTTCTCAGTCTCCTGTCTCACATGGAGTCCTGAACCATCTGTCAATCCTTCTCTCTGATCCCTTGCACTTCCCACAGTGCTCAGCTGTTTTTCATGACAGCCCCTCACTGACTCCTCCCTGTTCTTTCTGTGCATTTACACAATTTTCCAAATCACAATGGGGACAGTATTAGGGAGGATGTGGCTTACCCCAGACTTAACAGAGCTTTAGAGATTCAGAAGTAGCTTGCAATTGCCACCATCGTATACAAACCAGTTTTCCTTACTAGGTCAAGCTGCCTGTYTTCCAGACTGCTCCCCTGAGCAACAGCCACTGACTCTCACCATTGGAAATATTCCAGATGCTCTCACGCCTGATTCCAGGGCCTCATGGAAGAAAAAAATGTCCTCTCCAGCAACCCAAGGGCCAGAGCCCTGCCACCTCTTCCTTCTAGAGTGATTCAAAGTGGCTAGCCTTCCATTAAGAGCAAAAAATTATCAACCATCAGATATAGACTATTCCAATGGCCCATACATGATATTTACAAGACTCAGAGATATTTCCCAAAATCTGCCTTGTTCAGTCTGAACAYCTCCTATAGTACACAAGTAACTCTATCCAAACTACTAGGAACAGYCCATCTCCCTCAAGAGTTTCTTTAAGAATGAAATACAAGAACATGACAAAGTRTGATTGCTTTTGTTACACATTCTGGTAACATCCAGGTCTCACATCCTGATCACCTGTGGATAAAAGGACAGTTTCTCACGTATGTACATAAATTCACGTACTGGCATATACATACCAGATGCATACAAGCAATTCCTGCATGAGAACGTACGTATACATTGGATCTATGTAAAAAAAAAAAAAAAAAAATGGAAGGGACCAAAGAAAAGTCATGACCTAACTCTAAATATCAGAAATGTCTTTCAGACCCATAGATGATAGAGATTCAGCTTAAAACACTTTACTTCCAGTTGCCCTAGGCATAATTTGTAGTTATTATCATGTATTATTATTAGGATTAATAGGGTACAATAATAATATCAAACTAAGTAAATTGAAGATCAGATACTAAATCTAAGGTTATAGACCTCAGGGGGAAAAAATCACAATGTGACTAAGATTATGGAGCATGCAGATCAAGAATTACCATTTATTAAATGCCCATTACCATGCAGCTGGACTTACCAACTACTAACTTTCACCTGGCAACCTTACATGTTGGAAATTATCTTCCCTCTATATGGGAGAAAAAAAAAGAATTTATCTAAGATGATATAGCCAGTAAATTATAGACAAAAGCCACTGATCTTTCCAATATCTCTGAATGTATTCTTCCATGGGCCTGAGACCTGGGAAGACCATATGTGAAGATGAAGATGGTGATGTTGAAGATGAGGGAAAAATGAAGGAAGAGTTTGATAGCTTGATGAAGATTCACCTATATAATATAAGAATATATGCTATTGCGTAACACCAGCCTATTTTTTTCTTCTTTCCTTGAATTTCAATGAAATAAATACAGATTGCAAGGGTTCATTCATTCATTCAAGTCAATTAGCCAGCACCCATTGAGTAGCTACCCTGTGGCAACCATGGCCTTAGGCATGAAGATATAGACAAGAAAAAGATAAGATTCCTGCTTTTGTCAGTCTTAGACTATAGATTCTACTAGAATCACCTATCAGGGAAAAGCACTAAGAAAATCAATAAGTACTCTACATTATTAAAAATCATTTTAAACAAGGTAAGCACATAGGGAGAAGAGTGGTCACTCAGTCCAGAGAAAGACAAAAACCTCCATGAGGCTCTGACTCAGGATTCTTAAGGGTGAGCCGCACCTAATCATATGGACATGGTCTATAAGAACAGGAAACTTCGTAGGTAAGGCCCTAAGCCCTGAAAAAGTATTGTGAATTTGGAAAACCATAAGTAGGTCTCTTTGAAGCATGGATAAGAGGCTTTGCATTCTAAATCTTGGTTTCTTTATGGATTATAAATTATAAAAGTACCTTCTTTGTGGAGATAAATGGTGTGCTTGAGCTAAAGTGAATTAGTAGCCACCGGTTCTTGGTACTTCATAAAGCTGTGTGATGGCAGCTCTTGTTACTATGGAGAACCTTGGAGGCCCTGGTAGATATGCTTCTGGTTAATAGAAACAGCAAATCTGGGTCAACTGACTTACACAATAGTTTCTAATATGGAAAGGAAAGGAGAAGGCCATGCTCCAGGCAGGGCTTAGCCAGAGATACGAGCTGCTCAAAGTTCATAAATGTTTAACAACCAGCTTTGTAGGGATGAGAAGGAGGAGGAGGAAAAAAATGAAGAGGAAGAGGAAAAGAAAAAAAAAAAGAAGCAGATCTCTTGTATAGGTTTCGTAGATTTTCATGATGTAACTTTCCCCTCAAGGGCCAATTTTAACTTACCAAGATTACATGAACAGGCTCATCAGATTCCTGAATATTTCTCCATTAGCTCTGAGGAGGTTGTCCACGCCAGCTCCAGTACACCATGGTGTCCAGCTCTTTCTTTGAGATTCTCTTCATCCTTTCTCCATCCCAAGGTTGGCTTTTCTCACAATCACCAAAGGGCAGCCAGAGGGAATGGCGCCTTGTGTTCATACGAGGGTAGGATAGGGTACCAGACAGATTGTCTCCCATGCCATGGAAAACAAGATTCAAATGTCACTCTGGACCACCTTGGAATCTGTGTCTGGGTCAGTGTTTTCTGAGGTTTTGTCCTATTAGAGTACGTTTAGAG